TCAATCTTTATTATGGAAAGTACAGGAAATATACTCTTGAAATCTTTTTACTGAATTTCCATATTTCTTATCTGACGAACGAAACTGCTAGTTAGCTTAACGCGAAAGGATTAATTATCTGAAGATAGGGGGGTGAAAAATCTCCTGAAGTCAGAACATGTTATTAATCTATTTTCTTGCTATCGCCAAAACTTTATTTGGGCTTTCAAGGGCTGGGACTTTTAGAAACTCATTTGGCAGTATCTGGAAGAACTAATTAAAAACGGACCTAGTACCTTCTGGATTAAGATTTATTTATCAGTAGCTCTTGAGAGAAACCCATCTGATCAGGCAGCGTTTAACTTTTCCGATTTAGCTTTGTGCTGTATTGTTGTTATCGTATGTGGACTTCCTAGGAGATGGTTATTAAAAGCCAGGCATCGGATTTCCTCTGCCTTAAACTCTCTTCGTTTTATGTAATGGTAAACGACTAGTACAAACGGTTTTAAGAGACATACCTGAGTTGCGTCAAGTTTCCAATTCGACATGGTAAACTTTTCCGTGGATAAGGGTTTTTTCAAACGCCACAAACTCAACCCGTAGAGAAGCTGACATAGCAAATGACCCAATGGCGATCAGTTATGTCATTTCCATCGTCGTCAACACCATCACTTGTTCCTTCACAGTTCTGCTCAACGTACTGGTGATAATGGCTGTGAAAAAGAGATCGCAACCCCGAACAAACAGCAACCTCTTGCTGGCCTGTTTAGTGGTGACTCATGGGACACTGTCAAGGGTTAACATGCGCAGTAGCATACACTCTCTCTGAGACTTCTCACGCTCAACCGCCATTATGGAAATATCGGTGAGTTGAAGAATTCTGCATATATTTTGCATTTAAATCAAGTTCATCCAAAGAAAATGCCCACGAAAGTGAATTGATCTTTTGTAAATGTAAAAAAGTGCTTGTACGACGAAGCGCAAAGAAAATAGTTCTCGTGGGTGCCCTTGCAGAGGGAGAAACGTGCTGTGAACAGATGAATGTAAATGTGGAACAAGCAAAAAACCTTGCAGAAACAGGGTATGCATCTAAAGCTGAATACATGCATATAAAGTTGTATACATTCCCTTTATTTGTGGCTTGCCAATATCCAAAAAGCGGACAGGGGGCCCACACAAGCGGCGTGTCTGGTCGTTTGCTCGAAATATAAAGAAATGTATG